CCTTCTCTAGTTTTATTCATCATTCACATATCAAGAGTCCATACCCGTCCTGGGTTTTGTATGCATCCAGACAGCTCCCCAAGGCTCAGGGCTATTTTAGACTATAAGGAAGCCTGAGCCAAGGCTAGTAAACAAAGCTGGAATATTTCACAAACTTTATAGAAAGTGTTTACACCAGGCTGACCACTAACTGTCTCTGACCAGTATACAGTCTCTGAAATAAATTCTTATGGGCTAGAAGTTCAGGCAGAGGGCCCCACTAGCTATTTATCAGTTTCCAATTGGGCTGCTACATCCTTCTTTCAGTTCACAGTGATCCCTGCATTGAGGAAGAATAGTGAGGTCAGTGCGGTGGGAGCGGGATGAGGAACCCCTTAACACAGCCAGGAAGGAGGCAGCAGGATGGGCTTCCTGAAGGAGGTGACATCTGACTTTCATGTTTGTTTTTTTTCCCTAAGAGGAGTATTTTCTTGTCTCAGCAGGTTGCCTTTCACCAATCCTGGAAAACAAGTGTTTGAGGGAAAATAAACTGCCCTGCTAGAGCACTTTAGTTTTGCTCATTGGAGATTTGGGTGATGAGATTTGTGTGTGCGAGCCTGATGTGGGTGTTTTGCCTAATATCATCTATATTAACCTGGAAACAAACATAACAAAGTAATACAAAATCCTTCAGGGTAAAAATTATAGGATTTAACTACAAAAGAAAAAAAAAAGTTAGAGGCAGATCATTTACATCCTACAGGTCTCTATAAACAAAGTACTCACAAAAACAGCACCAGTTCTAATAAACAGCAGTGAAATCACCACCAGCACTGCACCAACTTCACAGTCGCTTCACCTCCAGCGTTAGGTCTGAGGTTTTGTAGCTTCCTCCCACATGTAGGACTTTTATGGTATTTGTTTCTAACAGATTGGATTCATCAAAGTGAAAAATTGATCTAATATTAAGACTTCTTCAAAAACTAAACACGTGAAATGATGGACAATCATGTTTTGGAACTGACCAGAAGTGAAGAAAATACTCATCACTGGCCACTTGATTATTTGGATATAATTCATGTTCCAGATGGAATACATGATGTGAACTAGAACTTATGGTTTACGTGGGTTCAGTAAATAAGCATCCCGTTATTTTGGAAATTGTTTGGGAAAAAAAAAACAAACCGAACAACAAAACACTTTTTAATTTTTCTAAATACAAGAGGAAGTATCTCCATAGCTTCTTCATCTGGATTCTACTTCTGCAGAGAACCTAGCACAGTGGAAAGGATAGTGGTTCTTGAAGCCACTAAACCAGTGATGACTTGCACCAGAAAAAAGTGCTTCTGCAGGATTCTCAGCAATTTTGCAAGGTCTTCATAATATGCTACAGCTTCCTCTTTACTTGTGAGAAAGTTTGCTTTTTCTTCCAGTTGCTTCAAAACATGACTGTGCCGGAAAAGACTGCATGTGAATCTATACTACCTCGCACAAAATGGCCATCATGGCTCCCTTTGATTCCACTCGAGTGCTGGCTATTGCTATGAAAGCAACATATTTCAGGAGGCCACACTGTTTTGAGTCTTCCTTCGGAGGGAAACGTGAAGATACTTCTTCTGGAAGTTTTCACAAAACTGCTGGCCATGCCTTTCTTCCAGGTAATTGTCAGAGCCCGCCGCCCTTCACAAACACCCGTCAGTGCACCTTTCTTCAACCATCACAGCAGTTTTGCGGCTGAAGACTTGTGGGTAACAGAAAACATTCTACTGCTCCCTCTCAGCAGGGAGGGAGGGGATAAATGTAGGCAGGAAGAACTCAGAACAGAGATAGGACACAGGGTCAGACATTTGCTGTGCCCACAGGCTGGTAAATGAGAGGCTGAACCAACGTGATGACTCTAGACATCTGCTGTCGTAAATTCCTTTGGCTCATTGTTTTTATTACTAATTTTCCTCAGTCTGTGCAATCCTGAGTTATCTCTTCACAGCTTATCAAGTTAGCATTCCAGAAAAGGGGAGTTACAGATCCTGAGACTAGACCAGTCCAGACTGGGGCATGTAACTTCCAGAAGATATGCGCACTCATGACGTGTTCACGAGTCTTGCACAACCAAGCTGCTGTTGATTGGCGCTTACAACTAGAAAACATAAATGGACTATATTTGGATGGACAAATGAACTTTAGCCAAGTCTACACTCTTTATTTTGTCATCCAATAAAGATTAATTTCTTTGCTTTCAAATCCCAGCCCAAAACCTATATGGACCCCTAAACGTGCCACCTGGAGACTCCCCATACCTAGAAAAGTCTCCTCAGAGCTCTCTTTTCTTGCTCTTTTGCTAATCAAAGAATGCTGACTCCTTGCTGGCCTTCATCAGTATCTGTAGAGTCCTCTTTTCAGTCGTGATCAGAGGATCTCCAGAAGCCTTTCCAAAGCTCGGGGGCAGGGCCTCTGGAGTCCTGATTCCCAGGAGGTGGAGCAGTAGACAGCGGCTAGAAGGAGGGTGAGATTGGACTGAGGGGTCCCGGATCCTCTCCATTGTCTAGGGACTTTTCCCCACCACCTTAGAGGGACAAACTTGCAGTGGCAACATAATGGACAAGTTAGCCACCTGAAGAACAGCACTTGAAAGTGGGAACAGGAAGCCCACACTTAGGCTAAGCCATGTGATTAATGATTCCCTTTTAGTGAGCATTTATTCTAAACCAGCACTGTCCCAAATGCCTGTAATATTAGTTCTCCAAACTTCTCCCAAGTCTTGAGACACATTAGGACCACCAGTATAAGCCTAATTGGCAAGTGATATCCCTGAGGTGTAGAAAAGTTCAGTAATTTTCTCAAGGGGCTCCCAGATCCAAGTCTCCGTTGTCTAGTGATCTCTCCCCACCATCTTTGAGGGAAAAACTGGAGTGACAGAATAATGGACAAGGTTAGCCATCTGAAGAAGAGGTGGAAGGGGGAGTAGGAGGTACCTGATTCTACATCCCACTAAGAGATGTTGTTGGGTTCAATGAGGCCTAGGAGGGCTGAGACAACTTCTTGCTTGTCTTTGAGTATCTACAAGGCTTACGAAGACCAAAGGCAAGACAACCCACACAGGACATGCTAAGAAATTAAAACGCCATCTTGAAATACACAGAAGGCTCAGCATGTTGGGAAATGTAGAAATGAAGAGTAGACATGGACAGTAGACTGTCCATCTTTGTCCCTGCCTGTGTGCCGTCCTGTTTCCCAGTGGTAAAGGGGAAAGGGAAACATTTTCCTTATCTAAGCCAACAGAGGTGTCTTCTGGGGAAGCATCCAGAGAATGTGGCCCATATACAGTGTCATTTAATGGGTATAGGGCACCTCTCTGACCCAGGCCTGAACATGTTGCTTAGAGCGCCCACTGGTGGCAGAGTCGTGGGATTATGGCTGCGTCACATGCCTGGGGATTTCACTTGGGCTGGATGGTTCTCCGGAAGAGGAGCTGAGTTAAGAAGACCTCCTGGAAGAGTGGGTGTCTCCACAGAGAGGACAAAAAGGACCTGAACCGAGGGGAAAAGCATAATTTCATCCATGGAAGGCAAAACAAGTCAAGAGATTTCCCCAGGGGTGGGAAAGGACTGCAAGGGGCCCATCAGTCCTCCCCTAAAACAAATGCCATGATTTCTCAGGGCTGTCCTGGAGATGGCCCTCATGTCAAGTTACATCTGCACTAGTCAGGTTAGACCTCAGCTGTCCCTTGTCTTTCCTCCTATGGGAGTTTAGAGTATTTGCATGTAAGGATAAACAACAGGAATTAGAAAATGGGAGATGGAGGTGACTAGTTCACCAAGAGGACCCCATTAGACACCCCAAGCTAGATGTCACACTCCTTTGGACACCAGACACAATCACTCCCTTCTGAGGACAAAGGAGCAATCATTCAAAATAGTTGATTTTCTTATACTGATGAGATATTCTAATTTTGGAATGAATGACTTATTTGTACATGAATATATCTCATCTCCCTTTACATATTGACATTTCTTTGCCTTCAAATAAGAAGTGGGAGATATATATTGCTTTAAATTAACAAGTGTAGGGCCAGAGGGTTAGGACACAGCACTGCAAGCTCACCTCAGTGCAAGTTTAAAAAAAAATTATTTATTTTTGCATACAGAACTGGGGTACAGGCCAGAGGTGCAGGGGAGGTGAGAGGATTCACCAGAGACAGAGTGGGGAGCAGAACAGACAGATTGATGAAGTACACTGCTGAGGGGAGCAGC